CAATATTGAATTATTATGTAAAGATTTACGTTTCCTAGGCATGCAAATCGAAAGAGGAAGTACACATAAATATATGGATTTTCACTCTTTTGTTTTGACAACGACGCATATTTGCAATAATTTTGTTTAGAAGGAAAATCATACTACAAGAACAATTTAAAAGTTAGATGGAGGCTTTAAAATTTTGTCTTCTACCAAAATTGTACAATCATGTTATGTCATTAATAAATTTTAAGGCTTATTGATCAGTTTCATAATACTATTGAAAAGTTTTATACAGACTTTAAAGGTTTTAGACGGTGATTAAAGCCTTATAATGACGTTTAACGATGGACATAACGTGGCAAGCACGCACTGAAAAAAGCTCTGCTCAACTTTCCGTTAAGTAAATTTCATAAATTGTCCGTCAAACTTCATTAACAAACAGAAAGTAGACACATGACTTGTTTTTTTAAAAATAATTCTACATGATGAATACATGAGGTGAATGTGAAGTTGAATTTGTAAATTTGTGACGTAAAATGTGAACTAATGAAGTATTTAATTCGCGCATATATCTGAAATTACTTTGCAAATTCATGAAAATGACATTACGACAAAATAAATTAGGCATTGTGAAGGAATTAATGAATAATGCAGATAAAGTTTTTCTACAGTATTTTCTGTAAAATACGGCTTGTAAATGCAATGATTTTAAATTTGAAAAAATAAGTTCTAAAAGATTACTGTTCTAAGAATAGAGTTTTAAAAAGAAATAAAACAATTTTATATAAGAAGACATAAGATAAATAATGACAATGTTTTCATATATAATTCGCCAAACATTATGTAGTTTAAACATTTTTATGGTTTCGTGATTAATATATTAAGTAAAAAGTTTCCTAACTTAAAACAAACCTTATATCATTAAGCTGCTTGTTAATTCAAATTGTATGCATGATAGGAAAATTGCATAATATTAAACGGGGGATATTTTAATAAGAGCGTATTTGTAAAAAAAACTAAATCTTACCTGTTAAAGATGATAAGTAGGTCCTTCAAAATATTCACCACGGTGTCTTAACACATTTCCAGCCTCATATTCCATATAAAAAGCATTTTGAACTGTTATTTGGGTTCCGACGGCATCACGGGTTTCGAACCGGCTACCGCAAAGGCAAGATTTAATGTGTGGATTTAACCAAAAAGCACAAGGAGAGAGGTCAGGTTTATAGTCGGAATGTAGCAAAACCTCAATTCGCTGCTCCTCTAAATGAACTTGAACTAAGGCTGACCGGTGCGCAGGTCTATGATCATGGATCCTGCGCAACCCGGGCCTTAGGTTTCTTTTGTAATGTTGTGATTTACTACAGCAGAAAGAACATTGTCACGGTAAAATGTTCAAGTAACACTACCCCTCTCAGGCACAGCGACACCAGCAACTATTCCATCACTAGCAATAAATTGAGCGAACATAACTCTTAATAAACGCTCCTGCTACATCGAGCAACAACTAGGCGATCCCTTTTTTCACCTACCTACATTTTGTTACTGAGTTTATTGTCGGGATAGAATCATTGAAACGCATTTATTCCACTGTGGAAATTTCTTTCAGGCATCTAGAGTCTTTATCATTGAACCTAGTCAATAAGGCCGAGACGTTTCTAACCCGCTCCCTTTGCTGGTCAGAAATTAGCAAATGCCTAATTTAACGGGCGCACACGTTCCTTAACTTTATCTTTTTTCTCAAGATGGAAAACACATATATCGCACTAGGGCCCGATATGTCACTTATCTCCTCCATGGTATTTCTTTCATCGTCATCAATTATGGCTTTGACCGTGCTGATATCTTTTTGCGGAAATTGGGCGCCTAGGGCGGGAATAATCCTTAACATTAGTTCTACCTTCCTTTAACATTGACACTTTCCTGGCAATTGAACGACATGGAAGTGCATTTTCTCCATAAACTAAATCTAGATCCGTTTTTATTTCTGACGCGCATTTACTAAAAAACTTTCGAGTTTTGCAATAAGCTATTTGCTCCTCTCTCAAATCAGAATGCAACTCAGCCATGTTTACAGCCAATAAACAAAACCCCATGTATTTGAACGACTTGCTAAAATTTTACTGCACGTGCAAATCGTGCGATAATAAACAGTTGTTTGGAAAAATCAATAATCTTTCCAACGGTAATTCATACTTTTAGTTTCACGTGCAAATCATGGTTAAATTTAGTTCTGGCTTCCAATTCTTTATTAGCCGCTTTTTTAACATTTTTGTTTTTCATCTGATGCGGTTCACGTCATGTCATAGTATATAAACTGGTACGCTAAAGACTTTAAGCTACGTTAAATTGAGTTGTTACCACTAATTAAGATATGCTCCTCATACAAGGGCATTCAAAACAACTTTTCTTGGGATTTCATCATTTGCTGTAGCTCTGTATGGTGGTGGTTCTAACATTGTCCATACATGCACACAAAACGCGCGCATGCACAACCGCGTGAACACTAAAACACAATCGCAAAAAATGCAATAAACAGGGGTCCAAATACATGTAATGAAAAGCATATAGATAGGACAAGAAAGCTGAATTGGAAACAGAGAAAATAACATAGAATAATTAAAAGAGACAGTTTTTTAAAAATCACGTTTTTATGATAACATAGCTGTTAGAGTTGTTTATCAAAAATGAATAAATAATAATAAAAAAATAATAATAAATAAAATAAATGAATAAAAATAATCAACGTAATTAAAGTGTTTAAATTCTTAAATGTATTATTTGAACAAATATCGGCTAAATTCAAGGGACTTAATAAGTAAGCAAAGTTGTCAATTACTACAGAAAAAGTTACGTTTCCTAGGTATACAAATCGAAAGAGGAAGTACAAATAAAAATTGAAATTTCTACTTTTTTTCACTACGACGCTTGCGAAATAACTTTGTTTATAATAAGATCAAAGTGTAAGAACAGTTTAAAAGTAAGTTATTTTCATGAATATACCGCATCATATCACTTTACATATATAAATATTTACATGTGACACTTAATTATAATATGCATTAATTGTTTCATATTTTGTTTTTAATAATGACTGAACATGATAAAACGAACGTATATGTGCCTTTTTAAATATGATTGATTTTTAGTATGGATTATAGTTTATTAGTACCGCGTGGCCAATTTAATTTTGTAAATACGTACTAATAAACATAAACCTGCTTAGTGTGATAAACCGTTGATTTACTAAACTGATTCACATAGTTTTTACCAGTTTAAGTAAATGTGTTACGATTCATTTGAAATACTGCAATCCTATTGGACATAACTAATTTTAAACACTAAATCTAAAAGGTATTGAAAAATGAGATTTAACGTTACATTTTAAACGTCTAGCTTAATAATAACATGTCAATAAATTTGCATCGTTACTCGCTAGTGTATAAGTTTATTATTGCTTTGTCTATTAAATTTTAATGCTAAGATGAAACGACATCAAATGTTAAATATCTCTTTAGATCTACAATCTTAAATGGTGTTTGGTAGAATTATATCATTTATTTTTCTTCCGTGTGTACCTACCGTGTGTACGAAGAGGACCTGACAGAAATCTTCGGTCTGCAGGTTTATCAAAGTTGAGTCGATTACCGAAAACACGTAATATTTTTCAGGGCCTAACTACGTTCTATTATATATTTTACGCAGCGAGAGATTGTTTCCAAATATGCTATTGATATTTGCGTTACACTCCGTCCAATCTACCTGCTGATGACGTAAATTGCACCAGAAAAGAATTTTAGCGGAGAACGATTAAAACAATAATGTGAAATTAAAATTTATTAGTTAGATTTCATTAGTAAGCATTTACAAAATTGAATTTGTCGAAATGAAAAATAAAACACATGAGAAACAAAACAACAACAACAAAACAAAGACACCTAAATGTAACATTTTTTTTTTCTGAATTTTGCTTACATTGTCATAACTTTGTTATTTATTTATAGATTTGGTTCATTTTTGGGCAAGAGAGCACTTATCGCAAAACAGATATGATCAATCTCCCACGCAGTAATCTCCCCTTACAGAATTAGATCTCTGCCATCATAGCATTTTCGTCAAGACTTTTGACAATATGACTTTTTCAAAATTCTTTTTAATTTTAAAAAGTAAACACGGTTTTGCAAATGTTTAAAGACCGCAACGTGTAAGATGTGAACTGAAATAAAAAAAATAATTTTAGAAACATTAATTTTATGAAAATAGTTTTTAACGATTTTAAAATCGCACCGTTTATTTCCAAAACAATGGCCTTCTCGAACGGGAAATCATTCAAGTAATAATTAATTTCGATTCTACACATAACAAAAATTTTTTTTTTCAATCATATCGACAGATTTGACACCAGAGCTAAAGTTATATGTTGCTGTTTATAACAGACAAAACAATTGTTCAACGATTTCATTTGCGTATCCGCCATCTTTACATAATCATGTGATAAGTCCATTATCACGTGATTTGTGTGAAGGCAGTGGTTACTAGCCGTAGCGTAACCGGTGCACGGAGTTTGAGATATGATAAGGAAACCATATGTGACATTGACCTTTGAATGACATTGACTGTCAAGGTAAAATATGGAATTGAAATTGATTTTGTTTCATACAATAATGTTTTGTAGGAGTACTTTTTACTACAACATTCTTCCCCTGTTATTAAAAGCCGAGCGTTGTCCTCGCTAGGTGGTGGATTTTGTCATTTTTAATAGTTGCAATCATATAATGACATAATCAGAAAGCCTTTATTAGCACGCTTCATAGTTGTCGCAGTGTTGTAATTATTTTTTTAAGAGAACATACATTTTCCAGTTTTATTTTTTAATGAAACAAAATATCGTTCTAGTTTCATATATTAAAACAACAACAACAAAAAAATCTAGTTATATCTGTAATTCACACAACAATATCTAACAAAGTTTTATTTCTCACATTACAACAATTTGTCTATTTTTATCGTTACAGAATGTTTCAATCACCCGATTATAGTAACACATTGTCACTTAAATTGTCTGAGGTATTACAGGATGTTGGTGTCAATGAAGAAATCGTGCTGAAAAGAAGAAGAGTAAGCATGCTGATGGAAAATATTGGAACTGTGTCATGGAGGTCAGTAGGTATTACCTCCACTGAATATTATTTTGGGAGTCAGTCTGAAAGCACAACTACTAATGGACTCAATTCAGATACTGACACTATGTCTGTGATACATGATTATAATGTAATACAGAACTGGTCAGAATGGAAACAGAATAAGATCAATCTTCTTATGATACAGGATGAGAATGTCACAATGGGATATTGCTTCTTACAACTGCTTCGTTCGGATGAGCCTCTCTTTGAGACAATTATTCCTGATAGACATTATATCAGAGACAGTAAAGGGAGGATATTATTGAAAAATACAATTATGAATAGCTTACATGAAGATGCGGAGAGACACGGTCCATCGAATGCTGTGCCCGGGGATGAAGGATACACTGATATTGATATAGTGTTTGGTTTTCCTTGTAATTCATTGCCACAATCAGCTTCACATTTACCGGACAGAATTAGCATAGGCGGATGGCCAACATCTGAAATGATCAGATATGTTGTAAGTAATGGTTGTTTTGTTGTTGGTGCTAGCAGTAAGATTAGTACTTACCCGGAACTAGAATGGAGAATATCGACATCATTAGGAGAAAGATGCTTCATGTTTAATTTAAACATAACACAATTACATTGTTATGTTTTGATGAAAATAATTTTGAAAACTTTTCTTACACCTCAAAGGGAAAGTGCTTTGTCTAGTTTTATGTGTAAAACTGTAGTGTTACACTGTATACAAAACACCGACCGAAACATTTGGAAAAAGAACAATCTTTTCACATGTTTTACATATTGCTTGCTTGAACTACAAAGCTATATTGAAAATGAAAATTGTCCGCATTTTATCAATCCGGAAAACAACCTTATGGCCGGACAATTTACTACAGAAGGGAAGCTTGACATGTTACGGAAGATAAGGGGCATAATACAGAGTGACGGTAGATGTTTGCTTCGAATAAGTATTGATGATATTGGTAATCGACTACAGGTCAAATTTCATACAGATCGTGCGATACCTCATGGTATACCAACTTCTCGTGACATAAATGAAAAGATTTCGGGTTGGTTATATGGGAACTTAGCAAAAAAAATTAGCAATAATTCATTAATGCATTTAAAAAAATTGTCAAATGATAATATAATCAATCTCAAACAATGTATCTTAAAGCTAGCAAGCTATAGTGTACATGGATCCAGAGCAAAACAGATTGGAAGTCGTTGTTTGTTACCGTTTCTTTATTCTACCATTGGGTGTGCAATGGTATCATCAAATTTTCGACAGAATATTGCAGTTCTAAATGAAGCACTTAAGTGGCTCTCACTAGGTTTAAACTCTGATGTCTCATCCGGAAGACTGAAAGCAGCGTCAAGTTTGTATTGTTTATATTTTGTGGATAGAGCAGAGTGTATTCTGAGACAAACTGAAAATCGTTACAACTGTGATATTGTTGAACCTGTATGTGGTTGCACGCGATATCCATTGTCAAATGAGTCTGCAGACTTTAGAAGAAAATGTCGGGAACGAAACGAAGATTGCATCAATTGTATCACATCATTTTGTGTCAGATTCATACAAATGGAGATCAACTGTGTTCCTCGAGAATTACAATATGAAATGATGAGATCTACAAGAGATGGCATTCAACACAGGACTTCACTTGAAAGACAATGGATGAACTTTGCAGTGGTTGATTCTCTCCCTTTTCTCTACTTTTTACAGTACAAGACATACGGACATCTACAAAGATACCAAGATAAACAACGAGCACTAAGTAACCTTATAAATATTACCGTGTCTGGCAAAAACCTTGGTCATAGGGAGACAGCTCTAAACCTTGTAGGTCAATGTATGGAACAGGAGAACAAACCAATGGAAGCGATGCGGTGTTATATGCTTTCTCTTCAACAAAGAGAAAGGAACAACGCCGCAAAGTTCCATGTTTGTAATTTACTGAGAAAGCACGTATCTCACAATTAAATGTTATGTGATGCTTGTTATGCCAAAAGAAAAGCTGAATGTTTTTCAAACAAAGACATCATCGATATTTTGTATATGTATATTCTAAATTGTAGAGCTGTTCATTCAAAAGACATTAATTACAATTATGCATTTGTCAAAGGACAAGTGTACCATTTGAGCATATACCTCAGTACAGTTCTATTTACTGTACAGTTGTATGATAAAGCAAATCTATGATTGCACTTCATATGTTTTCTGTTTAATTTCATGGATATCAATACATGTCCATTTACTTACACGGACTGTAAACTGCCGATTGGACTTGGCTGGCACATTGTTTAATGTTATGCCTGACAATCGTTTATTATGATAACCATTGCAAAGGGAGCAAAGAAACAAACGTTGCTTATTAAATCTCAGTCGCATCACAGTCTTGTGAAAGATACGTTCATTTATTATAAGAAACATATTTTACATAATATATCAAATAAATGCTTTTTTAGAAATTTGCCTGATTTTGAATTTGATGTTTGAAGCTAAATTAATAAAGGTTTTATTAATCCGAACCGCTTTTGAGTCCTTTTTTTAAATTATTTTCATAAATTCTGTAGTTACTCGAGTATGTCTCAAAACAACAATAATGTGTAAGGATAAAATTTGGACCATCATCTTTTCACAAAACATATTATATTCTCAGCTGCCAAATCGGCACTTACATAATCCTTTTTTAACAAGCAAAACAGATTATAATGCTTGTTTAAATCTATACCGGGTCGGTGTTCATGAAATAATTTTCCATTTAAACCTGACAAACAATCATTGGTGAAATGTTAAGATTTCTCTGGAAATATTTGATATTTGAATAATAACATATAATAACATTCGAAATTTGAAAATTGAACGTTTATTAAGATATTGATCATTTATATTTAACATATGCGGCCAATCATTCAGGGATTTTACTACTCTGGTCCTGGTAGCGTGGACGATATCTTGCATAAATCTGCCGTCAGGGTACAGATCCTACTTAAATATGCATTTATTGTCAATCTTTGAAGTTACACAATGCGAGGACAAACGTTGCTTAAATCAATATCAAGTTGAGGCCACTAGCAGTAGAAAAATAATGACTTCTTATCGATACCAGTACCAAGTAGATTTCTTTGGGACTCGCGAAATTGTGAAGATTCAGACACACACAATCTTACGATAAGTTCGTGGTATTATGCTCGCGAGTAAATGCCCCTTCCGCACGAGCATCTGCTGAGGATTGTGGCAAGTTAAAATGTACTCAGTGAAAATTACCATCTCTGTTGATTTTGTATTTTTCTATCCTGCTGACACTGATATATACAAACACTATAAGGGAAAAAACCCGATTACATTGTGAAAGCTCGGGAGCATAAACCAGAAATGTGTTTAAAAGACACGGACGTCCCGACTATATTTGCAATACACTGAATAATATGAAAAATGTGTTTAAAAGACAGTTTTATCACAATGAAAATGCTATACAACAGGACATCGTCTTTTTTTGCAATTTTCAACACTTTTGTTAGAGGACAGATGACTGTTTAAATGATTTTAATATTTAAATGGTCGTTATTTTAACCAACAAAACACACATGTCCCAGTATATTAATTTGAAAAGTGAAAAAAAAAAATTGATTGATTATCACAATTTTTAGGATAACAAGGATTTAATATCCTTAACACTTTGGCCATGTGACTTAAGGATTCTTTGATGATTGACCGAATTAGGGTAACGGGCAAGATTTTCTTAATACTGACATTTGACCTCTAAGTATGACTTTGAACTTGGAGCTAAGGGTCTCAGTCTGCGCAATACACGCCGCCTTTTCATTCTACACATTTGTGCCATTTTTTGTATTCCTTGATGCATTTAAAAGTTATGGGTGGGGAAATATTTTCTTCTTGGTGACATTTGACCTCTAAATGTTACCTTGAAACTTGAGCTAGGTCTCTCTCCAAGTATTAAGCACGACAAACCGTCATATCATTTTACACATGTGTGCTAAGAAATCCTTTTTGCATGACAAATGTATGTGCTAAAAATATTATTTAATAGCTGACTTTTGACCAGTTAGTGTGACATTGACCTTATAACCATTCACTTGTGCTGTTTTACATTCTTCAGAAAATAAACGTGAACACGTATTGAAAGATACTTTCAGGATATCAGTATTGTTGCAAATAAAGTTATAATTATGTTTAGTTCTGCAAACATTGATTAAACCTGTCACTATTCAAAGCACATGATATTATTTGACTTATACTTCATACGAATGTATGTCCAAAACTTATAAGACATTTGGAAGGGAGGAGGAAATAATCCGACATGGAATGCTGTCCAAATTTTATAGTACATTTGGTGGGGAGAAGGAAAGAAAATAATCAGACATGATATGCTGCCAATTTTGTATGAAGTCATTGCCCAGTTCCAAATCAGTATTTGTATGAAGGTGAGCAAAGACAAGAATGTCATCTAAATAAACTTTATATTATAATGTTGGTCCCTGAATCGTAATGAATTATTTACGAAAAAAAGGAGAAAGAATGATAGAATTAGCACAAATAAAGAAGGAAAAACAAAGGGATGTAACTTATGTAACATACAGATGCAATGCAAGTCAGTTGAGTCATGTCTCTTTTCTTAACCTCGGGGGAAAATACTTCAAAAATGACGATCTGTTCCTTGTAAAAAGATTAATTTTGTAAAAACAGTAAGAATTTGTTTACATTGCTCTCGCCCGGTAATTTCTTTCCAACGCACTGTTGCTATTTATAGATGAAATGTGATTCCTAAACTCCACCCATCGTATAGTAAACAACAGTCTATAGGCTGGAGACGTTCCAACGGGGACAAATAACGTTCAACATTAAGTAAGTTAGTTTTTATTAAGTGACATTTTTACAAGAGAAAATATTATGTAATCAAACAAAACTCTATTTTAAAATAAATAAATAAAAACATATTGAAATCAATACTTTTTAACATTACAATTATGTATTCGCTCTTAACTGGTATTTTGCCTTGAAATCAAAAACTATGACATTAGACAATATGATGTAAAATTGCTTGAAGGATAGATCAAAGACTGGTTATCGAGTTGAATGGAGAGGTCGTTTCAAATGAATACATCAATAACGATTATATTTAGAAACTCTGTACAATTGTTGTTTAACAACATAAGCTTAGTAATCAATTAACCAATCACAAAATCTGTAATATTTAGATTTTTCTTATTCACATACATTCACCTAATCGAAAGTCTATGGTATGGGACGAAATGAGCTTAATATTTCATAGACCATGTTTATAGAGGGGGGGGGGGGGAATTGTGTTTTACACAATTTGTGGCAATATTCTTAGAACCCAACCTTTGATAATTTTTCGGGATATGTGTGTATATAATTTTATATACATTTTTCAGAAATGTTTGCTTGCTTTGTATACAATTTTATGTTATATTATAACTTTCATATCAGCATTGTTTTATATGTTTATATGTCATTTATTATTAAATGGCCATTTCACAATTTTATGTTAGTTTGATAACTTTCATATCAACATTGTATTATATGTTTTTCCGTCATTTATTATTAAATGGCCATTTCAATTTCAAAGTGTAGTTGTTATTCTTGAAAATTATCAAACAGAGAAAACTTCTTCAGACAAAGATACAACAAATTGAAATGTTGACATAAAACTTAATTTATTGCAAAATAAATGTTTTTATGGTCACTTACAAGCTTGATGGTGGGTTTCATTAGGTCTTTAGTCATAGGTCGAAATATATTGGGTTCGAAAAAGCCGTACTAGTAAGTACACTAAGGTTATCGTTATGAGTAAGTACAATGTGATAATTGATGCTGATTAAGTCCGCCATTTTAGAAGAAGAAATAATTCATAACAATTTTCAATAACCCACCATCCCACCCACATTCAGTATTCAATTTTTGACAAGCTTATAAACATCAATAAGGTTTTGTGTTTGTTTATAATTTTATATACAAATGATTTTTCTTTTCACTTCAAGATATGTGTGTATATTAATTTCATACACAGTTTTAGGCAATATTCTTAGGTTGGGCAATATTCTTAGAACCCAACCTTTGATAATTTTTCGGGATATGTGTGTATATAATTTTATATACATTTTTCAGAAATGTTTGCTTGCTTTGTATACAATTTTATGTTATATTATAACTTTCATATCAGCATTGTTTTATATGTTTATATGTCATTTATTATTAAATGGCCATTTCACAATTTTATGTTAGTTTGATAACTTTCATATCAACATTGTATTATATGTTTTTCCGTCATTTATTATTAAATGGCCATTTCAATTTCAAAGTGTAGTTGTTATTCTTGAAAATTATCAAACAGAGAAAACTTTTTCAGACAAAGATACAACAAATTGAAATGTTGACATAAAATTCATTATCATATATTTATTTATTATTTTGAGTTGTAAGTAAATGATAAGGAGTCCTAAAAACACACAATAAAAACCCTGCCCCCCCCCCCCCAAAAAAAAATCGATTAGCTGTCAATTCAGTAAGTCACGTTATGTTAGTAAATTAAGAGTTATGATATTCCGAAATATTTAAGGAAACATAATTGAGAATCGTAAAATATAGCTTTAGATGTATTATCATGCTGAACATTATTCCTTAGAAACAATCAATGGAGAAATTATAGACAGACCCAAACATTTTTGTCTATTTATGTAACATTTATAAATAGAATGTCAGTTATTAACACGTTAATCAATTCATGCACATAGTTAGGCACATGAAGGGTAAAGTTTCACTATTATTTTACATGACATTGTTTAGAAGTTAATTCAGAATATTTCACATGGAAGTGGCGACAAAAATCATACGGAGAAGGGTTGCAGTTGATATCACACAAAATCATTCACGTCCGATATTTTTAACTGAAAAAAAAATCAGCGGTGCACGATGTAAATAATGTATAGTCTGTAACCAGACGCACTGTTGCTATTTATAGATGAAATGTGATTCCTAAACTCCACCCATCGTATAGTAAACAACAGTCTATAGGCTGGAGACGTTCCAACGGGGACAAATAACGTTAAACATTAAGTAAGTTAGTTTTTATTAAGTGACATTTTTACAATTAAGAACTCTTTCTTTGTGGTTGTTAATTGTTCAAATTTCACCCAAATAAACTCTAACGTTTACGTAGAACAAAATATCAAGGAGGGCACACCTGTCCCGCACAGACCAATTAGGAGAATGACATAACTACGCTACATAAATAAGCGCTACAATTAATGCTCGTGGATTGTAACAAAAGTAATATTTATATGTGAAATGTCAAAATGTCTAGACATAACAAGTTTGCTGTATCAACGACTTGAATATTACAACACGCACATGTCTAACATTGTATCAATAAAACAAGAACGTGTTTGTTTAACACAAATGCCCCCGGCTCAGATTCTTGTCAGTAGCAATATTTCAAAAAATGTTTACCCATTCACTCAGTTATGGACAGAAAAATTGCCAAAAAATTGTAAACAAAAGTTATATAACTTGACAAAGTCATGGCATTTTGTAATTGTGAAAAATATAAGTTGCCAAGTCATTGCTCTGACTTGTGAAGTTGAAGAATATTCAACTTCATGCAAGTTATCTTCCTACCAAATATGAAATACATCTGTCATTAAATAAAGGCTATATGGGCAAAAGTGTAAAAATCTATTTTGAGCACTGGTTACCTTGACCAAACTGACCCCTCACTCTATCCAAAAGAAGAATACCATGTAAATTATCTTCCTACCAAATATGAAATACATCTGTCAATAAATAAAGGCTGAATGGGCAAAAGTGTAAAAATCTATTTTTAGCACTGGTGACCTTGACCAAACTGACCCCTTATTCCATCCAAAGGAAGAATACCATGCAAGTTATCTTCCTACCAAATATGAAATACATTTGTCAATAAAAAAGCTGTATGGGCAAAAGTGTAAAAATCTATTTTTAACACAAGTGACCTTGACCCACTGATCCCTACCCCAATCAAAAGGATGAATACCATGCAAGTTATCTTCCTACCAAATATAAAATATATCTGTCACTTAATAAAGGCTGTATGAGCAAATGTGTAAAAATCTATTTTTAGCACTGGTGACCTTGACCCAACTGACCACTAACTCCATCAAAGTTTATGTTTCTATCAATTATAAATAACATCTGTCTATAGAATAAGTTCAATACACCTGTAAAAATGTAAAAATCTATTTTTAACATTGGTGACCTTGACATTGGTAACATTGACCTTGACCCAAATGACCCCTTACTGCACCAAAAGGAGGACCTCCCTTGGCATGTTTGTATTAAACTAAGACTTCAACTTAAAAATAAAGGCTGTATGAGCAAAAATGTTAA